CCCCCCCCCCATTTCAATTTCTGTTGCATAGTTTAACTAGGCATGTATTTTAAGAAAGAAAGGAAGACCTATGAACCTTATGATTATAGGCATGTCATAATATTTGTGTGGCTATAAAACTTTTGAGACTTGTGGTCTTTTTTTTTTTTTAAAGATAATCGTGGTGTCCGAGTCAGCTTGTGCGCGCCTCGACTAACTCCACCGGAAAATTGCTACCTCCTACCAGCAACAGATAGCAGGTAACTCTATCTATCAAGGCTTGGACAGATGAGAACAAATCACCTGCCTCAACTGGGATTTGAACCTGAGACCCCATGGTACTCACCCACTTCATTGACCACTAGGCCAGACCCTAGGATGCTTTGAAACTTGTAGTCTTAAACATGCCATAACATTTGTGTGGCTATAAAAGCTTGTCATTAAGGTTAAAATGAGAAGTTTAAGTTAGATTGATTCCAACTTTAGAAAGTTGTCATTATTTTTGGAACGAACTAAAAAAGAAAATGGTGTCACATATACTGGAATGGGAGGAGTATGAATTATGGTACTATAATAATAAATTACAATAACAATAATTAACTTCGGCATCGATTATACAATGATGCCGAGATCGGTCCAACTCCTCAAAGTTAAGATTTAAAGAACCAGCCCTTTTTTGTTTGGATCATTGAGCGTGTCGTTGTTCGAAGCGCATGGCTATGAAGCAATAACCTTCCGCTTCGCAGCGACGAAGCGATTGGCTTCATCAACACTGTCGTAAGCTCTTTTCAAGAATCAAATCACGTCTGTTTCACTCAAATCTTCAATAAGTTAGATGAGTAGCTTTTCAACTCGTCAATCCCTCAATCCCTCAATCCCATATCAGTTCGCCTAAGCTATATGAACCACCGAGTCCATTCCGTTGAATTACTTTTTAGTAGGAACTTTTTTACGCGAAAAGCTATTATGTCGATTCTTCTCAAAACAGTGACAACAGATCTCCATATGCCATTATTTACAAAACTTAGTGAGCAGTGCCAAATTTTCTACAGATTGCTTCTTTCAACTCATTTACAGTCGATGTGCCTATGGTGCCAGTTCATATGAATCTACACAGTTCGTTCCGCTCTATTCAGGTATATCTAATTCCAACACTAAAAAATGTTCAATACTGAATTCTAACTGATTTGCACATTGCATCAACGATACACGGTTATCAGAAAGACTATCAGTGGTCGTCTATTGATGCAGGGCTTTACCTTCTAGTTGTACTATACCAGCCATCTATTTCGTATCCTGTATTTCATATTTCGTATCTCTTATATATTGTTGTTATTTTATTACGCATTTTTATGGTATTAATATATTATCTCCTATTGCTTTTTTTGAGCCGAGGGTCTCCTGGAAACAGCCTCTCTACCCTTCGGGGTAGGGGTAAGGTCTGCGTACATATTACCCTCCCCAGACCCCATTTGTGGGATTATACTGGGTTGTTGTTGTTGTTGTTGTTGCACATTGCATCAACGATACACGGTTATCAGAAAGAAAAAAGGTAAAAAGGCTAGTAACAGCAGCTGATTACTAACAGATCAACTATAATCAGACTCATTTTCATCCAGAAAACATAAAGTGAATGAAGCATTAAATCACAATGCAGATCTATAGGAAGCCTGCAAGGACAAATACAGTCGTAAAAGAAGCGGATCAATTCGCATCAAAACCACCGAGAAATTCAAAGAAGATCAAACATAAACTTGCCGCCATATAAATGCTAACGCGGTGGAAACTTCAACCCATAAATCCTAAAAGATTGACAGTAATGAGACTCGATATTCACTGGAACACATAATATTAAGAAGAAGCTAAAAAAATGCAGATCTAAAGCGTCGTAAAACAGCAATACGTGGATAATTATATGTTAAGACTGTAAAAACTTGAGAATTCAAAAATTCGTACCTTCGTCATCGCGATCGTCGTCTTTCTTCAGGAGAGGCTGAGCCATTTTTCAACGAGAGGAATTGCAGAGAGATGATGTGAGTATTCACCAAGGAAGGTGAAGGTGAAGGCGAGATTATTAGATTAATCTCTATAATATACAGTCTCACTGTATTTATATGGTGAGTAGTGAGGTCGAAAATTTTGATCTCTGAAGCTCTCGGTGTGCGAGCGCCGAGGTGAGTTAGGAGACGGGTCAATTGGATCTACTGTAACCAAAAGAGGGCCATTTCCACAAATAGCCACTTTAAGTTTCTCTTTAAAACATGACCACAAATTAAAATTGAGTGCAATTTTAATCATTTATAACCATAGTCGTCTTGGTGATTTATTTACCCGTAAAACGGTACAGTTTAATTTATACGTGATTTCTAGACAAGTAAACTAGTTGATCCTGAAAATAATAAAATAAGTAAAAAACTATGCAATACTTAGCCTTAGAATGTAGACGAAACAACAGAGATGACAGTTCCGGAACAATGTTTCCAGGCATAGCAAAGATGAAATCAAAAATCAAGAAAGTAAAATTGTATTAAGCTTTGTATAGAATGTAGTGTTAGTTTGCCAGAAAATTCGTCTCCTTTACAATAATAACTAAGCTCACTATTTATAGATATGTCTAGGGAAGAAGGTCCTAAGATCGTGCCCTCCTTTAATGTCAATTATGAGGATCATTGATGAAGATGTTGTTACACTCCATGTTTTCGTACGTAAAAGTACGCCATAATAAATTGATATAAGCTCGGAAATGAGATGTTACATCCGGCATTTTTGTACGTTAAAGTTTCGTCGTAAGTTAATCAACGTAAGTTCGGGAATGAGATTATTTGGGATTATAAGTATCATGCTATTTCAAACAAGTGACAAGTAAACTCATGAAGGTCAGAGGGTAAGCAAATTGAAAAAAATGAGTTCCATCGAAGCTTGACATTTTCGGATTAATACGGTCCGAGCTATAATACCGGGTATTTATGGATTAATGCCATACAAGGTACCACATGACCATGATAGTAAGGTGTATAAAGTATGTTAAAAGTGAGTATTATTTAAGTAATTTGAGATAATTCTTAATATGTGGGTAATTGGTTAATTATTAGATTAGTGGAGGACTAACAAGTTAATTAAGGAAATGAGCGAATAATTTTGGATAAGCCAACCCTCCCTCCCCCCAAACGTGGCAGCACACTAGCCCAAATAGTTGACTCTTACTCAATTTAGCAAGGTGCCACATTTAAGGAAACTTGTAGGCTTAATCATCTTGCAGATGGGGCCCACCCCTACAATAAGAAACTCTCAAATTAACAAAGATAGGGAATGGAGAACATGATTTCTTTAGCAAGGAAAGCTAGACGAAATTGTGATCAAATTCACAAAAATGGAGATGTTTTACATCTACCAAGTAACGATCTTCAGCTTCATGCGAAGTTATACGACGTAATAGTAATAAGACTTGCAATTCTAAAGAAGCTCAGTATAATCTTTCTCAAGAACATCATACGGATATTTCCCTTTCGATCAGCAGTAACGTGTATTATCACAAAAGACGTGTGTTAGAGGGATTGTCAAGAAAATTGGCTCAAGTATGTTAAGGCTATCCCTTCTTTCCTTTTGGCATGATCCATACGATACAAACGAAATAAGTAAATGAACAACTTCCATAAATAACTCTACTCATAGAAATACTAGAGATGTATATGTTCTTGATTCCCATGTGTCCTATTATTCTATCATCTATTCATGGGTCTCAGAAAAATACGTAAGTTGAAAAAAAGTTTACTTTATGATATTAATCAAAAGCATAATAGTTTTATGATGTTCCAAAAGATTTTATTGATGTACTTCTCATGCATTATATTCATTTATACATGTATATTGACCCATGACCAGATGACGTTATATACGCGTATATATGTAAATTATATGTATATGGGATATGAGAAAAGGTTACGACGTTATATATGCATCACCACCTGATCAGCTAGTATACGTTGATGATTTGCCCACAGTGGCCGAGATGATATGATGGAATGTCCTCAGAGGTTTGATGATGTTATGAACGTATATACCCATGCATGGTATGACATTTATATGCATATGCATGACATTTTAAATATTAAAGGATTCACAGAGTTATTCAGACTTACGTGTCTAGTCTTTTACTCCATGTTTCTCACATGTCTATTATTTACTGATTTTTATTCCTTACATACTCGATACATTATTTGTACTGACGTCCTTTTTGCCCGGGGACACTGCGTTTCATGCCCGCAGATCCCGATAGACAGGTTGAGGGTCCTTCAAGTAAGTTGTCAGCTCAACGGAAGGTATTGGTGCGCTCCATTTGCTCTGGAATTGCGTATTTGGTCAGTATGATTAGTATAGTAGTGCTTTGTCCCGACCTTTATGATATTGTGTACTCTTAGAGGCTTCTAGACAGATGTCATGTATGTGGATACTTGTATGGCCTTGTCGGCCTATGTTTTGAGTTTACGAATGATCATGTTGGCCTTATGGGCCCGTATATCACATATGTAAGTTTCTATATTAGTTTGGGTCATTCCATGTCGAGTTATCTCTCATGTTTATTCTACTTATCTCACGACAACCTCCCCCGCTCATTTACCTATGATAGTATGACACGAAAGATATGTTACGTTGGTACTCGGTTGAGTAAGGTACCGGGTGCCCGTCGCGGTCCATCGATTTGGGTCGTGACAAAAGTGGTATCAGAGCAGTTTTGTCCTACAGAGCTTACATGCCGGGTCTAGTAGAGTTTTGTTTATGGGTGTGTCATGAACCACACTGAAGCAGTAGGCTACAAGGCATTTAGGACTGTCACTCTTTCTTCTTACTCTAGATCGTGTGGTAGAGCTTAGTTGTAAAAACTCAATTTCTGAAATTCTATCTTATTCATAATACAACGATGCCTACATCTAGAAAGACGGTTGGTAAGGGATTGAATGCGGCTATGGAAGAGTGAGTCAGAGGAACTTGATTTTGTATCATGCTTATGATAAGTAAATGTAAGGTCTCCAGCAGATCATGTGTGTACTAAGACGTGTGAGCTTCTGGAAAAGGAGCCCTAAGGCATGAATGTCTATCCACCTATATGGTAAAAAGCAACGAGAGATTCAGAAGGTAGATACAAGCTTCAACAAGTAAAATGAGCAAGGTGAGAAGGGTACGAGGTACCCAGTTAATGAAGATTATCGGTATTTACAATTCAAGTAGAGAAATATAAGCACTATGAGTTACTTTCAACAGTGCAATTGGCCACACTCATCTTAGTTATGCCCTATAGGGGTTAACATGTGTGGTTTAAGAGAAGGACGGGATATCAAGATCCGGCTGGGGTTAGAGTAACCGAACATGGTGAATGGATTGTTTGTGTTAGTTGACATTTTCAAAGGATATTGCAAATGTGATAATAGATCTCTTTGTGAGACACCCAGATAGTGCACTCTAGAATAGTACCGCTTGAATACTAGAGTGTTCAAATTCTTTTAAAAATAGGCAACTCGAAGAGCCAGTGGATGGAGTAAGGGGAGCTAAAAGCAAGAGAATGTCTTGTTGAAATTTTCAGAATAAAGTGATAGACATAAATGTTAGCGGGAAATAAGAAGAGAGTTAATGAAGCATTATGAGTAAGATGTGATACAGGGATGGCAACGGTAAATCAAAAAAAATAACAGTATTACTGAGTCTATAAACAAGGAAAGGAAAATATGAAAGGTAATAGGCCTTGAGGCAACAAAAAAGTATAGGTCATAAAGTCACATCCTCATTTCGAGAAATAAGTTCATGATTTTAACGTGATTACCAGAAGGAAAAGTTAGACCCTAGAGTAATAGAAATCAGTATGGACTGGTGAACAACATTAACTAAATATGAATTAGGGACTAAGTGGTTTGATAATGGTCGACATCATGAAAATTTTAGGTTGCGTTTCGGCGATAATAGAATGGACAACAGAAGAAGATTCATGAGAAATTCAGAGAATGGTCATTCAGGAAGACGCTTCCCTAAAAGCAAGCAATGTGAGAAAAGCTAAGCTTAAGGGACTGTATATGCCAGTTACATTAAGTGTCACCCTCACAAGTAAGGAAATTTGTTATCCTTGGTACAGAAGGATTACCACAAAGCGAGTAAGGGTCATTGATGATGTGAAAAGACGCCAAAGATGAAGAGGTAAAACATCTATAGGTAAATCGTCCTAGCACTAAATCCTAGTATTCCCCTAAGGGAGGGGGGAGGGGTAAATATGGAGTGATGTGGCATTAAGTCAGAATTAAGTGGTTCTAGTAAATATGGAATAATAAAGGAAGAATGCGATAAAAATGAGAAGGAATGAGATTGCACTTATCCAAATCCTACAGATATGCTACAATTTTGGAACATTCTACAAACACGGCGTCGAGGAGAGGAAGTAAGGGTTCCTGCCCGAGATGTTATTGATAAATAAGGAGCCAATGCGAGACGTAAGTTGAGACGACGGAAATAACCCGAGGAAGATTACGTGGAATATTGATATGAGAATGGGAAAACGAGTAGTTAGTAGTTGATTTAAAGAGAGCCTAGTTATGGCTAGATAAGAGGATACAAATAAATCAATAGATCGTGCAAGATAAATAGAGTGGACCCCAACATGGGGAATTCAGTTTCGCAGATATGACATCGTAAACCTTGAGAAATATTCAGATAGGAGTTGGGGTAGATAAAGATACCATATGAGTGTTACGAAAATAAAAGAGAGTACCACCAGGAAGTCAATCAAAATATTAATTCAGAAGCAACCCTACAAGCACAAGGGCGTGGAGATAAGTAACTACGGATAATTATAGGCGAGGAAGAACATCAAAAATTCCGTCAAGCATACGACGTGGTAAGCTCGCAGCTTTACAAGAGTCAGAGGATCCTCCCTAAGTACTACAATGAAAGACTAGCTGAGGAAATAAGGAAGAAGACTTCAACCTAAGCACAATAACCTAAAGAGAAAATGGTCGTGTAACAACAATCTCAATACAAAATTGTATGCCCTCCAAAAGAAAGTGGCATCTACCATGGCTAATGAGCGGCGAGTAAGAATAAAAGTAATATTCGAGACCATATGAGTTGCACAAAATTTTTGGCATGCATGGGAACTCAGATAAGCTAAATATGCACGCAACAAGGGGGCA